CAACTTTTTTTTATTCTTGCAATTACTTATGTCGTTTATATATTTCCAGTTCCAATCAGGGCAACTAAAAAAAATTTCCTTCATTTTCTCCTTCTTCTTTATTATTACTGTTGCTCTTATCGCTTTTCATAAAGCACTATTTTTGCTGTTTAAGTAAACCGTAACTAAACTGTAATGTCTGATAAGAGGAATTAAAAGTTCAGTTTAATACAATTGGGCGACGCAAGCGAAAAGGTACGATTTAAGTAACGAAACTAGATTGCATAAAAAAATACTCAGTGGAAAGAATCAGAACTGTTTGCCTCTTTCACTGATGATTAACGACCACCAGTAGACAGCATCTGATAGTTGGGCAGCATATATTTAAGTAGCCCTATGATATGTAAAATTAGTGTCAAAATATAGCAAAGTTTACCGAAGAAATAGCAAGGTTAACCGGTAAAGCAGCCGGTTACACTCAAAATATTTCAATTTTGATAATCAGAAACGATCGCTAGACGTTATATGGTAGGTGATAGTGATTGAACTACTATACTTGTTTACTAAACTTTCTTTTATATTGTTGATAGTGTTGATGAAAGCGATCTTTTTGTGGTCTTTGCTGATATACTCAGATATCATGGCAGTTTTTGTGATTATGAGTATATAAGTTAAAGTAAAGCAGCAAAAGCGAAAAACAAAAAAAAAAATTAGTTACTACAATATACGAGCAAAAAAAGTAGAACAAATTTGCTACCAAACATACCGTCGGGCAGGAACATAGATTGTAAGGACACTTTGGTGCATGGCCTTTAAGAATCACTTGTTTGCCGTGGCCATCGCATTTTCTGCAAAACAGTATCCGCGATCGGCCACCGACTTCCGACGACGACGATGATTCTTGTACTTCGGTTGATTCAGCAACAATTTCATGCCTGTTAACGCCGTCAACCATAGCTGAAAAAACACTCGATTGTTGTTTTTAATTTATTCGCTTCTTATTATTACTTTTTTTTGTCGTTGTTGCTGTTTTTGTAACTGTTGTCAGATAAGGTATATTGTAATTACTGTTGATTGAATTTTTACGTCTGCGAAACACATGCGCACAAACACAGTAAACATATATACATGAACAGAACTTCAATTTCCGATAAAACGACAGTTGTGTGGAGTGAAAAGGCACAGAAAGAAAATGATTAAAATAGCAGAAGTTGACAAAGTAAAAAGAAACTTTTTTTTTCATTTTTATAGATAGTTTGGAATTAGTTTCAGAAACCACATTAATTTGATTACTCGGAAAATAATGAATCAATACCATCAAGTATTACCAGCGTAAAATTACGTAATTAATTGTTTAACCAGAACATTTCAACAAACTTTCACAGTTTTATTATCCAAAAAAAAAGTAAAAAATAAGAAAAAAAAA